CCCCCCCCCCCCCCCTCACCCCCCCCCCCTCCTCCCCCCCCTCCCTCCCCTCCCCCCCCCCCCCCCCTCCCCCCCCCCTCCCCTTCCCCCCCCCCCCCCCCCCTCCCCCCCCCCCCCCCCCCCCCCCCCCCCCCCCCCCCCTCCCCCCCCCCCCCCCCCCCCCCCCTCCCCCCCCCTCTCCCCCCCCCCCCCCCCCCCCCCCCCCCCCCCCCCCCCCCCCCCCCCCCCCCCCCCCCCCCCCCCCCCCCCTCCCCCCCCTCCCCCCCCTTCCCCCCCCCCCCCCCCCCCCCCTCCCCCCCCTCCCCCCCCCCCCCCCCCCCCCCCCCCCCCCCCTCCCCCCCCCCCTCCCCCCCCCCCCCCCCTATCTCCCCTCTCCCCCCCCCCCCCCCCCCCCCCCCCCCCCCCCCCCTCCCCCTCCCCCCCCCCCCCCCCCCCCCCCCCCCCCCCCCCCCCCCCCCCCCCCCCCCCCCCCCTCCCCCCCCCCCCCTCCCCCCCTCCCCCTCCCCCCCCTCCCCCCTCCCCTCCCCCCCCCCCCTCTCCCCCCTCCCCCCCCCCCCCCCCCTCTCCCCCCCCCCCCCCCCCCACCCCCCCCCTCTCCCTCTCCCCCCCCCCCCCCCCCTTTCCCCCCCCCCTCCCTCCCCCCCCCTCTCCCTTTCCCCCCCCCCCCCCCCCCCCCCCCCCCCCTCCCCCCCTCCCCTCCCCCCCCCCCCCCCCTCTCCCCCCCTCCCCCCCCCCCCCCCCCCCCCTCACCCTCTCCCTCTCCCTCCCCCCCCCCTGTCTCTCCCCCCCCCCCCCCCTCCCCCTCCCCCCTTCCCCCCCCCCCCCCCTCCCCCCACTCTCCACCTCTCCCCCCCCCTCCCCCCCCCCTTCCCCCCCTCCTACTCCCCCCCCTCTCTTCCTCTCCCCCCTCCCCCTCCCCCCCCCCCCTCCCCCCCCCTCCCCCCCCCCCCCCTCTCCCCCCCTCCCCCCCCCCCCCCCCCCCCCCCCTCTCCTCCTCCTCTGCATCTCACACCCCCCCCTCTTTCTCACTCTCTTTCTCCTCTCCCCCCCTCCCCCCCCTCCCTCTATCATCCTCCCCCCTCTCCCCCTCCCTCCCCCATTCTCCTATCCCCCCCCCTCCCCTCTCTCTCACCTCTCTCACCCTCTCTCTCTCCCCCCCCCCCTTCCCTCTCTCCTCCCTCTCCCCCCCCGTTCCCCCTCTCCCCCTCTCCTCTCCCCTCTCCGCTCCCTCTCTCTCCTCCCCCTTCTCAACCAGCAGGCTTTGCTTGCAGCCCCCAAAAACCACATCCATTTTTGTGCACACCGCACTTCTTTCTGTGCTGTCAGGGCCCAAATTATGATCTTGCACACAGGCCCACTGCTTTTATAAATTGCTTCTGGTTGCATCATAAAGATGACTGCCATGCCACCATCTTTAAACCTGGAGGTGCCCAGCGGCTTCTACAAAAAGAAGCTAGGAACTTTCTTGCAGGCTATGTTGCTGTAGATATTTAAATACCACCCCTATGCAGCTGAGCTGCAATATGTAGGTGAGGCATTGTGTGGGTGTGGCTTGAGTGTGGGCAGAGACACAGGGGGCTCCATTATCTCTTATTGCCCAGGGGCCCCATGAGTTGTCAGCCCGCCCCTGTATGCAAGTCTGTGTGCAGATACAATTAAAAAAGAAAAATCTCTTGACAATGTGAACATAAGTGAACATCCAAATGCCATCTGATAGCCGTGATTACCTTAATTATCAAAAAAGTGTGTATTAGCTGATAAATATCATAAAAACCGTTAGCTAAATGTTAATGGGTACAATGTGTGTCCAATTTCAGATTTTACTAGATTTTAGCTTTTTACAATTAGCTGAAAAATGTATGCAAGCAAAATGTTCAAGCACAGCTCTAATCACCAACTTTCCTGTTATTTCAAAAGAAAGTTCCAATGTGCCTGAACAAGAGCAATGCATTTATGTACTGCAGCCCTATCGAGATCAAAAGTACTTGATTAAAACCGATACAATGAAACAACATTATCCGAGTCCTAATGTAATGTTCTCTGTTCAGCCATATTAATATGTGATATGATGAAAGAAATCTATACACTTTCAAGTACATTTTTTCTGTTCTTACATCTATTTGCAAGTATGAGTCATAATCATGTTCATCGTTGATTTCTGCATTAAACGTCATTTGAAAAAAAATATTATTTTAAAGAATCAGCAGGTAAAATATCCACACTTTCTTGCAAACTATATTGTTTACCTCTCTTGTTAGTTTTTTATTTTATGGCAACATGAGATATATAGAGCATTTATGCCTGCACCTGTTTGTCTCCTAATATATGTATTTCTCCTTGCCAATGTTTGATGTGGCCCAGTAGCAAAACCAAAGCAAAGCAATACAGGCACCACTCTTAATCTCAATTGTGATGGAATTTCCTCTAGTGATACAGAATAATAATTGTTTTCTTATTAAGTGTATAGCAGTTCCCAAACTATGTACATAAATTTCACCCAAACATATTTGTCTAATGATATTGCTACACGCATAAATCATTCTTTATCCAGATAGCTCTGAGCCACATAGAAAGCTTGCAGTTTTCTATGATTGTAGTTATATCTTTGGGTTCCAGCAGGATGCCAATACCAGCAAGTAGTCAAAAGGTGCCAATGCAAGCTAAATACTCATTGTCTCATACCAGCTATAACAATATGTATACAAAAAATCAGGCAGTGTAAGGAAAAATTAACAATTGTCATTGGTTACAACCTTCAAATGAAATGTCCAAATGTACTGAACACGTGGCCTGAATTTTAGAGTCATACTCTTGCAGGAGGAATAATGTGAAGTGACATATATTTTATATATGTTTTTAAGTGAGATGAGAATTAAATCTAAACTAAGTATAATGTCCAGATACAACTCAGAAATGTGAGATTGAGTAACATTTAGAATTTTAGAATTTAGAGTTGTATTTTTTCACGGACCATCCATAAAGTCCCAATATTCTTTATAAATAGACATTGAATTGCTTGATTATTTCATAACATAGGTAGCAGATAGGTAGGTACCCAATTGTAAATAAGCATAATCTAGCTGTTTTCAGTATAATGCCCTTTAATGCCATAAAAAAAAAATCTGAAGAGTTAATTACCTCAATTGTAACAATCTTTGAGGATGTTACTAAGCAAATAATAAAAGATGATTTAAAATGTCTATTCAAATACATCTGTATTAATTCTCTGACCATATTGCTAGGACATAAAAACTGTCTGTTCCTTTGGGCGAAGAGACTCATGGTATTGATCTTTTAATCACTGTGTTATTGCAGGGTCAGCATTTGGTCACTCTGATGACCTTTACAGAGAAACATGAAAAGTAAAACTGCTCACGTTTTTGTTTGACTTGACAAAGGTCATGTTAGCACGAAGATACATAGTGAGTATCTTTTTAATCCAAAATAAATCTTTCCTCCTCTAAACAAGTAAACATCCACAGATTTTTTTAAAACAATTTTTATTGAATTTCACCATGTTTTAGTAGATAGAACATTTAAAAAAAAACAGGATCATTTATCAATTCTGCAGCAACCTTGGCTTCCTTAAAGAGCCATGACATCTAGATCTAGCCAATCGCATGACTCTCCACCACACTCACCAGATGGTATGCATGTCCAGTTGCTTGATTTTATACACCTGTGGACAGAGGTGAATCCAATGATTTGGAGGGGTGTCCCAATACTTTTGGCAATATAGTGTATTTTAGGCCCACACTGGCCCACTGAAGGGCACTAAGAACTGTTAAAGATTGAGAAAGCTCAGGATTGTACAAATAGGATTAATGAGAGAGAAGACTTGGGTTATGGGGCGGACTGACAACTCATGGGGCCCCCGAGCAATAGGGGATCATGGGGCCCCTGTGTCCTTGCCCAAACTCGAAAAAGCCTATGAAAAAAGGTACCGGGGCATCTCATGGGGCCCCCTACTGACCCCGGGCCCTCGGGCAGTGCCCGCGTTTCCAAATGGTCAGTCCACCCCTTCTTGGGTTGTTGGTTGAGTCCGAATGAGACGTTGTTTATACACTCACCAGCCACTTTATTAGGTGCACACACGTTCAATTGCTTGGCAACACAAATTGTTAATCAGCCAATCACATGGAAGCAACTAAATGCATTTAGGCATCTAGACGTGGTGCAGACGATTTGCTGAAGTTCAAACCGAGCATCAGAATGGGGAAGATAGGGGATTTAAGTGGCTTTGAATGTGGCATGGTTGTTGGTGTGCCAGACAAGCTGGTCTGAGTATTTCAAAAATTGCTGATCTACTGGGATTTTCATGCACAACCATCTTTAGGGTTTACAGAGAATGGTCAGAAAAAGAGAAAATATCCAGTGAGCGTCAGTTGTGTGGATAAAAATGCCTTGGTGATGTCAGAGGTCAGAGGAGAATAGGCATTTCATTTTAGCTGCAAAATTCAGATGGTAGGGTCAGCATTTGGCATAAACAACATGAAAGCATAGATCCATCCTGCCTTGTGTCAATGGTTCAGGTTGGTGGTGGTGGTGTAATAGTGTAAGGGATATTTTCCTGGCACTAGCAAGGTAAACCTATTAAAGTGGCTGGTGGGTGTAGATTTTTAAGAAAGTGGTCAAAAGGAAAACGCCTCAGAGACATGTAAAGATTTTCAATGGATGAGATTCAATAAAGCTTTATATGATAAGACCACTACTGCTTCTGTAGCTGTAGCCACATTGTTCTACTGAGAAAAGAACTACCAATGTATATACAACTGAGAGGCATAATACCAGACAATGTCAGTTCCCTGAGAAGGTGGAAGTTGCAGAGTGCCTAGTGAAAGCCTAAGGGATTTTGGATACCATAACAAAGAATGAATTAACTAATTCAGTTCCTGGAAGATACAGTTGGCTACATACACTGGATAATTAGAAAACAAATACCGGAATTTTGGAAGTAGCAACATTTTAAACAGGCGAATCATCCCAAATATGGTTAGGGGATGATTGATCCAGGCCAGGGGTCTCCAAACTTTCTAAACAAAGGGCGAAATTATCTTTGGGGGAGGGGGGGACTGTGGCCAGTGGGAGTAGAAAAAGTTCTAATGTCAGTGGCAGTAAAAAATGCCCGTGACTGGTGGCAGTGGGAGGAATAGTGCTGTCAGGAATGGATTCACCACTGGTGGTGGGACTCACCTGCCGTGTGGGCTGCAGTACCAGGGCTGGCCAGCGGGTGCTCTCAACAACCAGAAGCTCACTCCTGCAATCAGCCATCATCTGAGGCTGATTGCAGGAGGTGTATTTAAGGAATGGCCAGACCTGCAGTCAGGGCCTTGGTGTATTGTTTCCCATGAGTCCCTGTACTTGGTATCCTGTATACCTAGTGCATTATCATTTAAAATAATTTATTAAAGAAATAAAAATAGGTATCATACTCACAATGGACATAATAACACAGGCATGCAAACTGAACAAGATGTATGATCCAAACAACATCTGAGTCCATACGATGGAACCCTGGATGACCAACTGTCTAACGCGTTTCGAGGACACAACCTCTTCCTCAGAGCCTTAGGGTTCCATCGTATGGACCCAGATGTTGTTTGGATCATACATCTTGTTCAGTTTGACATGCCTGTGTTATTATGTCCATTGTGAGTATGATACCTATTTTTGTTTCTTTAATAAATTATTTTAAACAATAATGCACTAGGTCGGTGCGCCCTTTTTCTGTTTCTCCATTTGTATCCAGTGTATTAGGACCACACCCAGTCTGTTGAGGGCAGCAAGCAGTGCATATTCCAGAAAATTCCAGAACATTCCTATTGGGTCTACTGAGTCCTTTCCTAGCGCAGGAGTAAAGTGTTTGTTGTGTTGGACTTGGTATCCTGTGTTCCTGCCTAGTTGCTGACCCTGCTTTGATCCTGACCTCTGCTGACCATCTCCTGTTTAACCCCTGGCTTGCCTGACCATCCTTCTGCCTGATCCTCTGTACCGCGCTGCCCGTGAGTTACTGAACAGGGCTTGTGACCCTGACTATTCTCTGCCTGCTCCTCCGGTACCTCGCTGCCCGCACGTTGCTGACCTGGCCTGCCTGACTACACCTGACACTACCCAGGCAGTCCATCCATCCCGCACGGATCTGTCCCTGTTACTAGGTCTACCAGCCTCTTCATGTCCAGGCTCCTTTCCCCGCACACCTCTGACAATGCTCTTTACCATTGCCGGACGTACTCAGGGGTCGCAACCTGGTCTCAGTCTGCTCCAAGTCCATCCCCACCATCAGGGGCCCTGGTGAATAAGCAGATTGGGACTTAGACCCCGTGCCCTGTATAGTACCTAATGGCCTGCCTGACCATTCCACCTCTCCAGCCCTGACTACGCCTGTGTTCCCACACATTTCTGGTCATACCCGGATCCCTAACAAGTGCCCTATCATTGGTACCAGTGGGAGGAATAGTTCCCGTCATTGGTATCAGTGGGAGGAAAAGTGCCCCTTCTTTGGTATCATTGGGAGGAATAGAGCCCCATCATTGTTATCAGTGGGAGGAATAGTGCCCCATCATTGGTATCAGTGGGAGGAATAGTGCCCCTTCATTGGTATCAGTGGGAGGAATAGTGGCCCATCATTGGTATCAGTGGAGGAGAATAGTGCCCCATCATTGGTGTAGGGTGGGAGGAATAGTGCCCCATCATGGGTGTCAGTGGGAGGAATTGTGCCAATGATGGTGTCAGTGGGAATAGTGCCCCATCATTGGTATCAGTGGGAGGAATAGTTCCCCATCATTGATGTTAGTGGGAGGAATAGTGCCCCATCTTTGTGTCAGTGCCATCATTGGTGTCAGTGGGGGAATAGTGCCCCATTGTTGGTGACAGTGACAGTGGCAGGAACTATGCCCCACTCTTGCTGACAGTGAGGGAATAATGCCCCAAGGGCAGGATAAAATGAAGCAAAGGGCCACATACGGCCCTCGGGCCACAATTTGGAGACCACTGGTCTAGGCCGCCAGTTTGCACTTGAACTCTCCGAGATAACCAGATTGAGATTATTGGCAATATACATTGTCAGGGGCAGTTGAGCTATTAAATCCATATATTTAAACTTTTCAGTGCTTTGTACAGGGCAGCTAGTAGGAAGATCAAGATTAGCACCTCCATCCATTGAAAAAAAAGATATAACTTACCAATGTCTTGCACCACACCTAGAATCTTCTCAACCGTTGTCAAGGATGTGTGTACTGTATTAGCATATTGTCTGCATACAAGACCACTATCTTTTCCAGGATGTCCACATGGACAACTGGGATCAATGAAGTATTTCTATGATTGGTATGATTAATATTTCTATTATTATTGGTATATTGCTAGATGTTCTATGTCCAAGGCAAGAAGGATCTAGGATAAGACATATCCCTGCCTTGTACCTCTTTGCACAAGGAAGGAGTCAAATATATTATTGTTAATCCTATTATGGGTAGTAGGGTGGTTGTATAGAATCTGTACCCAGAATATTAAGTTATCACCAAATCTAAACTTTTGCAGCTTCTGGGTCATATAGGGTCATTCAACAGAGTCAAATTCGTTGTGGCTATCCAAAGCTAGGACAGCCCTAGGAGCAGAGGAGAGGGCTGAGATTTGAAGATTTGTAAAAAGTCGATGGATCTTTTATGTTTGAGGATCTCCCTGGAAGACCCAAATAAGTCAAAGCCTATAACCATAGAGGCATCTGAGTTCAAACGTCTAGCCAAAATTTTTACCAGCACTTTTAAACTGGGAAAACCTTCAGTGTGCAGCACCCCCTTAGCCCCCCTCCCCAAATAGTACTTACCAGAGCCCTATCGCAATCCAGCAATGTGCGCAAGAGCCTCGGCACTCCGGGTCTCCTCCCTCCTCATTAGCTGAGACAGCTGTCAATCACAGCCAGTGAGTCAATGAGGAGAGGGGGGAGGGGGCTGAGTGTGTGTGAATTGACATGCAAAGCAGTGGCTCAGAAGTGAGCCTGCTTGGGTTCCTCATAGCAAGCTGCTTGCTGTGGGGGTACTTGGCAGGAGGGAGGGGCCTTTAATATCACTATCAAGTGATCTGAGACTGAATAGTTTGCTAGAATCACCATTGAGTTATTTGTATGTTGAAATCATATCTCCTCTTGAAAAGTAGTCATTCCTCATAACTGAGGTCCAGCCCCCTTAGCAGATCTGTTGTTCTTCACTGGACTCTTTAGTTCCAGCACATCCTTCCTAAGGACTGGAGATCAAAACTAGATGGCATACCAAAGGTGTGGCTCAACCAGAGTTTTGTAAAGCAGTATAATTATAGTTTTATCTTTTATCTCATTTGTGGAGTCTTATTCATAAGTATTATGTATGTATTTACCGTATTTTGTGCTCCATAAGACGCACCTGACCATAAGACGCACCTAGGTTTTAGAGGTGAAAAACAAGAAAAAAAATATTCTGAACCAATGGACTGCAGACATAGTACAGGAGATGACCAGAGACTGCAGACATAGTACAGGAGATGACCAGACTGCGGACACAGTACAGGGGATGGACAGAGACTGCGGACATAGTACAGGGAATGACCAGAGACTGCGGACACAGTACAGGAGATGACCAGAGACTGCAGACACAGTACAGGAGATGACCAGAGACTGCAGACATAGTGCAGGATGACCAGAGACTGAGGACACAGTACAGGGGATGACCAGAGACTGCAGACATAGTACAGGGAATGACAGAGACTGCGGACACAGTACAGGAGATGACCAGAGACTGCGGACACAGTACAGAGAATGACCAGAGACTGCGGACATAGAACAGATGACCAGAGACTGTGAACATAGTACAGGGAAAATGCCAGGGACTGCGGACATAGTACAGATGTCCAGAGACTGCAGACAGTACAGGGGATGACCAGAGACTGCAGACAGTACAGGGGATGACCAGAGACTGCAGATAGTACAGGGGATGACCAAGAGACTGCGGACTTTGGGGAGGGAGGGAGGGGGAGCGGGTACCTGAAGTTGTCCTCTCTTTAGTGTGGGCACGCTGGCTTCTTCCCGCGCCAGCTTCTGTGACAGCCAGGTGCTCACTGCATATGCACGAGAAGCGCTGCGCTTTGTGAATGGCCCAGTACCTTCTGGGACCTGTCACATGTCCCAGAAATCACCGGACCATTCACAAAGCGCAGCACTTCTCGCGCATGCGCAGTGGGCACCCGGTTGCACGGGAAGAAGCCGGTGCGGGAAGACTACAGCGCTGGACAGAGGAACAGGTAAGGTCCTGCAGGAGAGAAGAGCTGAGTGGCTGGCCGGTATTCTGAGATGGTGGTGGCGGCGGAAATACCGGACCGGCTGCTCCATATTCGCTCCATAAGACGCACTGACATTTTCCCCCCTTTTTTGGGGGTAAAAAAGTGCATCTTATGGAGCGAAAAATACAGTATGGACAATGTATTAGAGGGCACTATTTATATGTATTTTGCCCCTACACCAAGTGAAAGGGTTATGGAGAACTGCTGGTACAGTTGCTCACAGGGGCAGAATGACCATTCGGGTACTCGGGCTCTGCCCGAGGGCCTTGGTCAGTAGGGGCCCCATGAGTGTCCCTGGTACCTTTCATGGGCTTTCTGGGTGTGGTTTGAGTGTGTGCAAGGACACAGGGGCCCCATGATCCTTTATTGCCCGGGGACCCCATGAGTTGTCAGTCCGCCCCTGATTGCTCAGGTAATAAAAGTCAACACAAACAGGAAGGATCTCGATGGTATTGTACTGTACACTATGCTGGAACATTTCTTCAAATTTGAAGAAAGTAAGCAAGTAATGTTCAGTAGTGTGATGCATGTCATTATCTCAGGATTGATACATTTTTAGGTCAAAATATATCTTTGTGAAGAATATCAACACAATCCCATGATGCTTGTTAGGCCTGTCCATTATCAATTTGCACAGAAATAAAGTTCAAAGGAATCAACAGAGCATTGTTCCAAATGTAGGGGAATATTCAATCCCTTCCAATGTCTGGTATCCCTTGAGTCATATGTTGGTAATTGTTGCTGTTGGTAACTATACAACGCAGTAGTTTTATACAGGAGAATCATAATGCCGAAAACTAAGTTGTAACCCGAATTTTGTTGAGGAAAAATAATACTGTCTGAGTGAACAGTGCACATTGCAAAGATTTTAACAAACTTTACAGCAAAGCCCTACAGTTTTCTGTTCTGAAGAAAAAGCTATTTGTTTCACCGTGTCCTAAGTAGACTGATTCCTGAATGGGAGTGTATGTTCTCATTATGATTATTATAATATAATAATAATAATATCATAAAAATCTGGGGAGAGGGTAATGTTAGATGTACTAGTAGATTTAGATGGGCTTCACTAACTTATTAAAGTGGAACTAAACCCTCCCATTCTTTTCCGTCCTGTTAGCCTCTGTTTGATGCAACCACCATGGTGCTGCACATGTGATCAGTTATGACATCAGCCATTTGATGGTGTGACTGTTTGGTTGAGAACACAAGCAAATGTGACAGCATTCCCAGCATTCCTGGAATGTAACTGTTTTTTGAAACCGTTAAACTTATGGGTTTAGTTCTGCTTTAGGGAGTATCTCACAAAACATTCAATTCCTATGGCAGGAAATGTCTAAATATTTACCTATATCGTAGTGCGGAGTGGAGTTGTCCTTTAAATAGAACATGCAAAACAATATATGAATGTCACTGTCTCCAGTGCACTAATGTACTTGCATGCCAAGAATATCATGATCATAAATAGCCAGGTTGGTATGCTGAGATAATCAAAATATCTAGAGTGCAAAAGTCCCAGAAGGAAAAGCAACAGAACATAGAATACTTCATAAAAGGAACAAGACGTTGTTCAGTTTATGAAACATAAAATGTCTATGCATAATTGTACCCAGGTTGCATAGTGTAAAAACAATAAGTTCTTGATAATTGTATGAATACACATGCAAAAGCTATAAAGGCTTGGAGATTTATAAATTTTGAAAATACATAGAAGGATCTCATCTTTCCAACAATTAAAGTGGTAGTATATAGCGTATGTTACCAAGGAAACAATTCTTTGTTTGAGTCTCAGTACCTGAACAACTGTACCCAGCAGTTCTCCATAAACTAGTCACTTGAGTGTAGGGTCACACTACCACATAAATAGTACCCTATAATGCAGTCTACATATATAGGAATATTCATGGATAAGGCACTATATATGACATCACCATAGTCTCATTTTTCGCTTTAGGTCTCCTAGGTTGAGTTATTGTTGAGGATTTATCTTATTTTTGTGTATTTTGTATCCTGCACAATCTATATTCACTTTTCCTTTCTGATATTTGCTGAGGCCTAAGTAATTCACTTGTGTTTTTGTATGTGATAAATGATTTTAGTTGACATTAAAGATTACATTTTATCTTATTGCTCTTTTGTGTTCCCAGATCTCCATTTGTTCATAGCTTTCTGATTAATTTATCTAAGTGGACACACAGAAGTACATTAACATTTTCAATCCAGGCTGTAGTTGTGTAAGACTGTTTTAGTATGATGAAAATCTGATTAAGACAACTGTTTGGATAACTTATGCCTCTTTACAGCTACACTTCCATCATTGAGACATTTATAAAATTTAAAACA